ATTAAAGGGACAGAGGCTTTTTCACTTCACCACTGGCTGGGCTGGGCTTCCTCGGCCCGTGGGAACTTCCTAGTCTCATCTGGTGTCACATTCCAGAGGGTTCCCTTGGGTCCCCCGGGCCCACCCAGTTCTCCTGGCTTCCCTCTGGTGTCCGCCTGCACTAGCTCTGTGCGGGAGGGGAGGCAGGCTTCTGCTGGACCTTCTGCGTGACTTCCGGTGACTTGGCAAAGGCTTGGAACACATCCGGTGAGGAGCCGTGGAGGAGGTGAGACCCATGGCTGTTCTGAAAAGTTTCTACTTGGCTGAATCTCAATGCGTGTCCAACGCCTTACTACTACCCAGTTTTCCAAAAGGCATTGTCAGCCTGGGGCCATCAATTTACTTAAAACAATGACCAGAGGTGTATGAGGCATTCAGGGTCTCTTCCAGAACCAAGCGGCAGACCCTAATTGCTGCTTTCTGCAAGCACCTCCCAGGCAAGACCCACTCTGGTGCACCCCTCAGATGCCCCCAGGCCCCCAGGCAGCGCCTTCTGTATTAACTGCCCCAGAAGCGGACAACAGTTTTGCTGCTGCTGTCAGCAGAGAGAGAGACTTCTGCATGGACGTCAGGAGAACCGGTCACCCAGCTCGCGCAGCACCCGCTGCCGCCGAGCTTCAGAGACCTCAGACGGCAAGCTTTCTCTTCTTCGTCCCTTTTTTGCCCCTTGCAAATCCATCTTTCTCCAATGTAATTAGATTGGAGAGAAGACACAATGGGAGTCAGGAGTCACGGAGCGAAAGCGGGGTAAGGGGAGGTCACTACCGAGATGACAGGAGAGCAGATTTCTTCACTGGTTTGAACACTTGAAAGGACAGACTCCCATTTTTCCCACCATGAAGAGGCTCTAAGTGTTCAGAGTTTGTGGTGCTGTTCTTGAGAGGCCAAGAGCACAAGGTCAAGAACAGGAAACACGATGACTTCTTAATCAAATTAAACAGCAAAATGAAAGCACAAATTGCTCTAATTTACTTGGCAAATTAGAAAAACACATTAATTAAAGTTTTAAGCATAAGGACGTAATTAGAAAAGTCTTTGGTGGATAAAAATATCTTTGAGGCATGAATTAAGTCAATTGGGCAATGTGATTAGTATGACTATGTGTCAGGCCAACCTTACGGATGTGCAATGTCAAAAGGAGAGTAAAGACTGACCAGCAAATAGTGACTAACAACAGTCCTGTAAAAATAATATGAATAATAATAGCAAATATCTTTTGGGCTTTTATTATGTGAAGATGCTGTGCTACACTATGTATTATTATTCTTATCACTTGTACTGTTTTGATCTCTTAAAAAGTACTAAATAAAATCCCTATTGGTAACACCATGGACTGCAGGGCACGGACGTCCAACAAAAGACACACTGAGGTGAAGGCCTTTTCTCCTCTTCGCCTCATCTTCCACTTACAAACACCACAACTTCTCAGTAAAATCTGCTTCTGTAAAACTCTGAACGTGGCTAGGCTGGTGTTCAGAAGGAAGAAGCCAAGGAGTGCATGGTCTTCCCGGCAGCAGCTATTCATTCAAGAGTGGACACATGACAAAGGTGGCCCAGCTAGCTGGAGAGACTTGTAGTCCATTACTGGGGAGAAGCTCGCCCTCTCCTAGTTGACATGAGCAAGGATGCTGAGGGCCACAAGCATTTTATGACCTGAGGGAGGGCTGGCCTCGGGATGAAGCCAACTTTGAGACAGACAGCATCTCTGAGCCCCTACACCAGTCAAGTCTGCCGCTCACCTTCGCTCTGGCCCTTCCTGAAATACGAGATCTTCAATGTCGTCTTCCCTTGCTTAAGCCAGTTGGAGTCAGATTTTTGTAACCAAAAGCTAGAGCATCATAATTTATATACAACAAAACGAATGTTCGTTAAACTAAATTCCAGCCAAGCACAAAAAATTGATTTTCTACATAAATTAGCAGTTTTTTTCAAAGTGTGGGCACTGATCACTAATACCTGAATCACCTGGGATATTTGTTGAGACACAAAGGAGAAAAAGCATCATTTCTGGGGCAGAAAAACTAAAAATCCACAGTCCCAACAAGTCTACTTTTGGCTCTAAAGCTAAAGGTTGAGAGCTACCATCAAGGCAAGCCACGCAGTTTCAGTTGGGAGTTTGGTAAATCATGACGCAGCCTGTCTGGACAGCTTGTGTCTCTGTCTGAGTGATGTGCGCACTCCGACCTGCCCCATGGTCCTTCGTAAATAAGTGTGATCCAAAGGGAAGCAGAGTTACAATCTTGAATTTGCAAAAGTGGGTATTTTTGCAAAATTGTGCCAAGGCTTTGCATTTAAGAAAATACTAAAATGCGTGAGAAATATTTAACAGCCTTATAAAATTGTTTTCAAGGCAGGTAAACAAAACAAAACAAAAATCTCCCCACATCATGTTTCTAAAGAAAGGAGGCATTTAAAAAAATAGATTCGGTTAGACTCCTATCATACGACATCACGATCACAAATGTGAGCTTTTTATGAAGTCCGCTCCTTGCCTGCCTACAACTCCCATTTCTGGATTCAGGATTCAGCCATAACGCCTTTTTCCTGGGAGGCCCGGCCTCCCACGGCTGATGCGCGGAATGGAAGCCTGTTGAAACGGGGATGGAGAGCCTGCGGCAGGTGTGCAGCGCGGCCGCGTGGCCTCCCGCCTGCCCTCTCGGCGGCCGGCCTCTCCACGCCAGTCTGAAACACGCCCATGCTCACTCTCGACCTTCCTAAGCCCTCTGCTGCTGTAATACTCCCTTAGGAAGCTCCCAGGTGAGGTCAGGGGTTTACCTTGAGTGGTAAAACAGCAGCTAAACAAAAAGCCAGCCAGGCTGCTTGCAGCTACATGTGAGAGAGAGTGTGCCTCAAACTTCCCTCCCCGCAAAAAATCAAACTCCTGTGCTGTTGGCCAGGTGGGACATTCCCAGGGAAGGCCTGCTGCAGGGCTGCTGCCCACAGGCTGGCTTCTCGGCCCTCTTGTACACCCCGTCCTCACCCCAGCCGTGGTCAGACAGGATGACCAGAGAGAGGGAGACCGTAGCTTCCGGAGCCCCTCCCTTAGGCATGCGATCCCTTCTTCCTCAGAAGCCTCTGGAAGCATCTCCTCTCTTCTCATTGACCCAAAAGGGCTTAACGAAGCCTTCCCATCCCGCACTAGTGTTAAGAGGTGGGATAACCAAGAGGACTGGACAGTGCTCACGGCCGTATTTCCCAGCCCTGCACAGCGAGAACATTGTGGTCCTTAGCAGCATGCTCTCGGGTAACTGGATGCGGCTGCCCCGTGCAGAGTCCTGGACTGACCCGGCTCTGACCAGCTGCCCTGGGGCTGGAAGGGATCAACAGGTGAGCACACCTGGAACACGGACATTTCTGGCAAATCAAGAGTCTGCTTTGGTTGAAATCAGGGGTCCTCACACTACAGTCCCAACACCTGCTTTTGTAAATAAAGTTTTATTGGGACACAGTCATGCCCAGTCCTACCTGAGGTGCCTTTCATGTTACGACTGCAGAGCTGAGTGGTGAAAACAGAATAGACGGTTCACGCTGCTGAAAATATTCACGTATCAGCCTCCTCCGGAGACGCCTGCCAGCCTCTGGCTCAGACTCGCCAGCCAGAGGGGAGTAAGACTGGCAAGGCAGCTACACTGTCGCCCGTGCGTCCCTTTCTAACACGTTTGCCGTGTATATATATTGTCTTTCTGAACATCTGCCTGCCCTGCTAGGCTCTAAGTTCCCTGAGGGCGGCGAGCAGCGTCTTTGTAAATGACTTGCTGGTGCCGTACCCCAGGCACCTCGCACAGGCCGGCACACCAGCAGAGCCCCGTAAACACCTGCTGGCTGCGGAAGTGAATGAACACGCTCCTTAGATAATCTCCCACGTGGGAACAAGCACAATGACTTCCTTCAGGAGGTGCTAGACATTCTCTTGTAAGAGCGGATGTTTTCTGTAATGTGAAAAGCGGATGTTTTAGTCACTTGCTATGCACCAACAGCCAAACACAGTATGTCTATCCACCTATTAGGGGGGAAAACGCTTGTTATCATTTGGCAATGTGTCCTACTGGGTTCGTAGTCTTTCGTCTAGTAACGCCAACTCTAGAGAAACATCCTGAGAAAAAGAACTGAATTGAGAAAAGACTTAGATTCATTAAACTGCTCATTAAACTCTGCCTTTAAGTAACAGGAACTGATACAGAAAGAAATGAGGAAGTGGTCAAGCACACATAGGTTTACCAACCAAGTAAAAATACTATTCCATCGTTACCACTTATGATGATGAAAACCAGGTAGCAGGCAAAAAATGTTACAGATCGCTAAGTAGAACACACTGCATCTACACGGGAAAATTTTCTGACACTTTTTGATTAGCACCCAGAAAAGTTCACGAGCCCCACACCCGTGTGTGACCCTGCGCCTCTCCTGTGTCTTGCCGGCCTCCCTCCGAGCTGTCCCGCCCTCCCCTCGTGCCTTGCCGTGCCGGCGTCCCTGCTTCTGCCTCCTGCCCCGTAATCCACATGCCTCACTCTCTTCCAAACCCAGTTTGAGCCTTACCCCTTTCATAGTCGTCTATTGCCCGGGAGGGAAATTGCTATAGATTCCTTAGCCCTTGTCACTTCCTCAATGGTTTTGTTTGTTTTATCTTCTCAGACAGAGCGTGAATTCCGTAGACAGTTATTTTTAGCACTTGCAATGAATCATAATTATAGGATGTTGAAGGATTTAAGCCATAAACAGTTCAGTGCAAGGGTTAGTTCTTTTTTCATATCTATAATATTTCCCATAGTTCAGGTGAACGCATTACCCACGGATCTCCACTACACAGAAGGATAAATGAATGTGTAGGTGTTTGCTACCCACGGCTCTGGATGTAGCGTGGGCATGTGTCCTGCCTCCCCGTCCCTGTTCCACTCCCTGCTCCCCTGAAAGATCAGACAGCTTCTTCTCTAAAAGGGGCAGCGTCTATGAAGAGAACTTACCCAGGTCAAACTGGCCAGAAACGTAGCCGCAAGTCTGCCGAACTTCCTCGCTGTCCCAGCCCAAGGGGTAGAGGGCACAGCCAGCACCAATCAGCAAGCCTGCAGAGAGAAGACGAGAGGGCTTTAGCGGCGTCACTCTGCGTGCATCCCTGCATCAGGAAAGCAGGGAGGACGTCGATGTCAGCGCCGTCACGAAGGGGCATGGCACCTGCTTTTGGGGAGCAATCTGACGTCAGATTCCAGGGACTGCAAAGCGCTCATCCCAGGGTGTCCTATGTATCAATAGGAATTGTGCGGAGACCGAAGAGTGATTTATTATTTCTTTTATTTTTTAAAGATTTTATTTATTTATTCTTAGAGAGAGGGCAAGGGAGGGAGAAAGAGAGGGAGAGAAACATCAGTTGGTTGCCTCTCGTACACACCCCAACTAGGGACCAAAGCTGCAACCAGGCGTGTGCCCTGACCAGGAACCAAACTGGTAACCTTTCGCTTTGTGGGATGGCACCAACTGACTGAGCCCCATCGGTCGGGGCTGGAGACGAATTTAGAAAACAGTAATAGGAGGTTTTGCGGACTAAGCAAATGCCCTGGTGGCTGGTTTCCTTAGGCTCCTTCCCAACCCCCCGCCCATGATAGAATTTACGGCACTCTGATGACGACAAACCAGTGTGACCCACCACCAAGTAAAGAGATAGTTAATGAAGATGTGCTTGTCTGCGTAAACTGAACTCCATGACTGTTTAATAAATACTGTGGCATCATTTCCACGACACTCGCTTCTTAACAAGTAACATCAGTTTTTGAGATCTTGTGAGCAACTTTTTTAATGCAGACAGTCAGACCAGAAAACGTTCACGTGTAAGAAAATGAAAAATACTAACCCTGGAACCATCATTGTCTCTTTATCTGATAGGCAGACAAATGATAAGCAGTCTCATCTGCTGACGTTCCTCTCAGAATGGCAGAAAAATATATGCCATGAATTCATGAAAGCGCCTGCTTAGCCTCGTAAGATGAGAAGCCCTTTAGGGAACTAAACGGAGAGGAACTGATAAACGCCTGCGTGTGCAGCAAGGTGGCCTGAGGCTGCAGCGGGGAGAGCGCTGGGCAGGCAGAGCGCACCTGCAGGTATGGGGCTGGCAGTGTGACACCCGGAAATGCAGGGTCAGCCTTATAAATTAGGAGCAATTTTATACACAGGAGATTTATGTTACATGTAGGAACTTAAAAATACCTGTTCTGAACACGCTCACAGTGAAATGTGTTCCTTGGAGGACAGCTCCCTTAACTGGGATTTTGATACAACTGGATTTTTATGTGCATACTGAGGTCGTCTTTGTTTTGTCATCTGCTCAGGCTCGCTAAGAGCAAAGAGAATGCAGGCTCCAAAGGTCTGAGACATTTCTCTGGAGGAGCGCATGTTGCAAATTGATCAGGCTAATTGGCTGTCACAATTCTGCAGGTAAACACCCGGGGTCTCCCTGGCTACCTTGCCACCACTGTGGGTTACAGTGAAAGCAAATCACAGAACGAATTCAGCCGAACACACAACAAATGTGTGTTAGCAGGCTGGCATACAAAGTCATCAAAGGACCAATTCTGTGAGCTCCATAAAACCCCTCCGCCCCACCAACTCCATCAGATAGTCGTTCTACCAAGTCCTTTCGACACACGACAAACCCAACAAATATTCAGCCGGCAGGATCAGGCACTTCCAGTCAGATCAGGCAAGATCTTCCATTTAATGGAGGCGGGGAAGGAGTAGAACCGAAGAGAGCCCTAGATCCACACTGCCCACTGCGGTAGCCACGGGCACATGTGGGTGTTTTAAGTTTAAATTAAAATGAAGTAAAACCAAAACTTCAGTTCTTCAGTTGCGTTAGCCACATTTTCAAGTGCCTCACAGCCACGTGGGACTGGTGGCTACCATACTGGGTGTGTCAGAACAGACCATTTTCTTAACTGCACACAGCGCTGTGCGCGAGGGCTGTTCTGGACCTAAACACCCCTTCCGAAGGACGCTGGGCTGGCCGGGTCCTTACGCCCTATGCCTGATGCTGCGTGTTAACAATCGAAACCATCCTGGCTTGTCAGAGTCTCCCTTCCCACGTCAAGCTAGAGGCCAGGAAACGACACTTCAAACACTCTTCCGAACAGAAATCCTCGCTCCGTTCTGTCAATGAGAAGCCCTCCGGTAGGATTTAGCCGGTAAGAGAGGGATAAACCGTGGTCCTCGTGGGCAGCTGCAGCCAGGGGCCTGCCTATCTGCGGACAGTAGGTGTGATTTTGCCAGTGGCTCCCTGGCGTAACATCACCCATGAAGGCCTATCATCAACCGTAGCTTCTTTGCATCCTGGTATTTCCTGAATTCCTGCATTTGTCTCTGAACTTCCTATCTCCAGACCTTCTAATGGGTCTTTGAAAGCGGATATCCCTGGGCTCCATCCCTTCCTACTTGAAATATCTACAGTGGTTCCTTTCACCGGCCACACCCTGGCTGGTCTGTGCCCAACTTGTTCCAGGGGAGCGGGGCTGACACACATCTGTCTATCCTGCTCTATGACCTGAACATCCTCCATTTTCCCAAGAAAAACCGGTCTCTACCATGACTCAGGCTAATTGCCCAACTGGGGGGTAAGTTTGGGTAGTAATATTAGAGCATGTTGCGTTAACCACGTCAGTAGCTGTGGTCTCTGGTTACGGAAGTCACGCTCATTAACCTGTCCTGGAACGCGGATTTCAGAAGGTCCTACAGATGTTAACTGACCCGAGCTTGGAGTCGGCTATACTTAAGTACTGATATTGTTAAAAGTTAGAGACAATGAAACATAAAAGTGAAAACATCTTTTTAATGGAAAACATCTGCCACTGTTCAGTTTTAGCGCGGCTCACTCCTGGACCATGTTGTAGAAATCAATGTTTGATGGAAGCATATTTGAAAATCCCTGAATCAGATACCACTTTGATACCACACTTGTGAATGAAAAAGGGGCCACATACTAAATCAGACAAGCTCAGGGGAGACCCACGTGATGGGCCTTATACACCGGGAGACGGAAAGGAACCACACAGGGTCTGAGTGCAAAAATTCCTAACAAAAAGCAAGTCCTGGAGGGTCGTCCCGTCCTAGGCTTGTGGCTTCCTTGACAAAGGTCAACCCTTACCTCTGAAATTGTCTATAGTCTTCGCGCGTCTGAGACAACATACCTTTCAAAGGTCAGAGTGATTTTCTTTCCCAGGCCCCTGGAAGGCACCCCCGGCGGCCGGCGGGAGCCACCTGTGACCTCCTTCCCCGCACACCATCGCTCTGCGCTGTGAAGTTTCCCTGGCCCGTAGCCCCCAGTGAGAAGAAGTACGTGTTTCTCCTTTTTGCTTTTGACCCAGTCCCAGAGATTTCCCCGCTTGGCTTTCTCCAGCCCCCTCATCGAGCTCCAGTGAAGTCCCTGTTGCCGTCCTGAGGTCTCCTCCTTTGATTCTAACGTATAAAATAAGCTGCAGAACTGCCAGTCTCCCGAGCGTTTTTCAATCTGCTGAGATCGTGCTTCCTGGCAATTGTCATCGTTTGGCTCAAATAATTCTTATACGGCTTTCTCTTAGGCTGGAGGTTCTCTTGTTGACCTACTGTACGCTGAAAAAGGGCTCAGAGAATATTCTGGAATCTAACATGGTTGCCCAAATGATATCTTAACGACATAATGGGTTTCAATAACTCTTGTTGACAAATTTGCCCCTGGGAAGTGGCTCCACTAGAACCTTCTGACTCGCAAGTTTTTATATCATTTACATGGATTTTCTTTATTAGGTTTGTAAACTTTGTGGATACCACAGGAACTTAATTATGTGGCATTTTAATCAAATTCCTGTGTCACTGCCATAAAAGACATCATGAATAAAAAGTCACACTGTCGGCTTTTTGGAAACCGTGTGCATAGGAGTGGAAGTGAGAAAAGAGGCTCTGAAGCTGGAAAACAACTGAGGAAGTGGGAACGGGGGCGGGTGGCTGGAGGCAGGAGATCATTTGCAGCTACAAGCTCATTTGCAATTCAGAAGCAGTTTATGTTTTGCAATTCTAAACACTCTGTAACTTTCAAGGGGCCATGAATAAATCACGCAATTAGTGTAAGTAGTTCAATCTTTGGTTTTCACCCAGTACCGGGCTGAAATCAGCCATCAGGGGGCAAGAAGCCATGGGGACAACCATTTTGCAGGAGGCTTTAGGAATTTAGAGAGATGCTGCCTCCTAAAAAGGATACAATAACCATCCAACACATGACTCCATAATTCTTAAGCTTAAAAAAATGAATATTGCGTTGACGATTATGCCATTTCAACCTGAGAACCCCCGGGTTTTGGCCTCACCCCGCACAAGACAATTAAAATATTTGAAGAGTCAGGGCAGTAAATTGGCCTCCCACGAGATGCGGGTGTTCGTGGAGAAGAGGAGGCACCAATAAGTGCCCAGAGGTGGCCCTTGGGAGCCGGGTGGGGGTGCCACGCCGTGAAAGTCGTCTGCCTTCCGCTCCACGTGGGCTCCTGGGCTGAAATCTTGGCCACGTGTGCTTTGCCTGCCCATAAACCACCCACGGGGAGAGTCCCTATTTGACACTCTGTCTTTGCATTGTGCTGAGAGTATCTGCCATGATACTAATTATGTCTTAGAATTTGAATATGAAGTCTGACGCTCGGGAAGAGCTCAGTGGGCCGAGTAAGAACTGGATGCCCGGAGCTTTCCCTTCCGTAAAACGCTTTCTATTCACCGTCAGTGCTTAACACTGAGCCAGCAGCGCATTAACATGACAATTGGGCTGCCGCCGAAAAGGCAGCGCAGACCTCCGGTCACCCAATGCCAATGACTGCAAAAGTAGTGAGAATGGAGTCCTCACATTAAACTCAGAAAGCCTTAATTTCTCCAGGCCGCTCTTCAAAGTTTTTATGTGATCTCACTTGTTTTTTTTTTTCTCCATGACTATTTCTCCATTCTTTTTCCACAGTTGGGTTTTTCTTCTTTTTTAAATAGTGTGATTTTTTCCACCTATCGCCCTTTTGGTGATCACACCAGCTTTTCCCATGAATGCATCTTTTATGTGTTTTTTGGATAC